AGAGGAATCTATTGTCAAACCAGTCTCCAAAATATGGGGTTACAGGAAACAGCACTTTTTCTGCCAAAAATGTCTGCTGAATCAGACTTAAGCAAACCATATAATCCATACACTAGGTAATAATTTACAAAATAAATTTGCTATCAGAAGGGTTTTGATTGGCAGGGTGGGATTAAGGCACTCTTCTAACTTCTCACTGTTGAATTTTATTACAACCTTTTAAGTGTTTAGGTGGTAAAGCACTAACCAAGCTGTAACACGGCTCTCAATCAATGCCTTCCCTAGCTTGGCAGACAGTTCAGAACTTTCAGCCTCAGGATTTCAAAACGAGCTGTTAGGTAGCCACAAAGAATATTAATTTCTCATCAGTGTGAGCTGGCATTTTTCAATATAGGACAACGCAAACAAAACAAGCAAGAAATGTTTGCAGGTCACCATGCTTTAGTCTGTAACTCTCAGAGTCAACAAAGTGTCATTTCTGACCCTTACTTAAAGTCTATTTGGGTTTATTAAGAACAAAGACAAAGGCCTGGGTTACCAAAGCTAGAGTTGGAGAGTTAATGCTGGCAGCTGACCCATCCCCTGCAGCATGAGTGGGAGGAGCTGCCAGAGTCAGCAGAACACTTTCTATTCTGGGCTTTCCTGCTCTTTTTGCAGTTATGGCTGGGGGCTTGGCTCAGTGCCATCCTGGCTCCATGGGGTGGGCCTTCTCACATGGAGGCACATTGCTTATATCAGCACAGAAGCTGTTTCTGGTCACCCTTGGCTGAGTCTGCGGCCTACCTGTTCCTGCTGTCAAGTCAGTCATACACTGAGTTGGGCTGGGGGTGGAAGAGGCTTGGACTTTGTCTCCACTCCCCCTCCTTCTGAGATTCAGAGCTTCACAAAGGAGCATTGAGTGACGGACTCTTGACACTGAGCCTTCCCAGCCCAGGAAAACTTAGGTCTTCCTTTTCTTCAAGGAGCGTGGAGATTAATGGAGTCACACCAGCAGTGGGCAGTGAATAGGAGAAGACAGGCCTTGGTGAGTCTGGGGCACATGGAGGGAAAATCTGAAAGAATGTGGGAGCTCAAGTCTCAACAGGGCCAGCAGCCAGTCCAAGTAGAGACATGGTCCCCCCGGGGGCCAGTGGAGGAGGTCTGCTGCAGTTAGAGCAGGCTGCGTCCCGGCCACTCAGCCTTAGTCTTTCCATCTTGCTCAAGCTGGCACAGGCGGCCCTTCCAAAGAAGGATCATAAAATACCGTGGGGCCTACCCTGACTGGGTAGCTCAGTTGGTTAGAGCATCATCCCCATACACCATGGTTGGAGGTTCGATCCCCAGTCAGGGCACATACAAGCATCAACCTATGAATGCATAAATAAGTGGAACAACAAATTGATGTTTCTCTCTCTCCTTTCCTCTCTTTCTCTAAAACCAATAAATAAAAATTTAAAATACCATGGGACTTGCCCTAGCTGGTTTGGCTCAGTGGATAGAGTTTTGGCCTCTGGACTGAAGGGTCCCAGGTTTGATTCCAGTCAAGGGCACATGCCCAAATTGTGGGCTCAATTCCCCAATAGGTGGAGTGCAGTAGGCAGCCGATCAATATCCTCTCTCACTCCCTCTCCCTTCCTCTCTGAAATCAATTCTATATAATAAAAGGATAATATGCAAGTTGTCCTCTCGACCTGAGTTTGACCAGAGGGCGGGCCTGGACCACCAACTGCCCAGGGCGCGGGCCAGAGGCGGGGCTGTCCCACCATCCCCCTGTGGGCCTTACCCAGGTCTGCCTAGCCAGATCACCCTGATCAGGGCTGTCCGGCAGACCACACCTGTGCTCGAATTCGTGCACTGGGCCTCTAGTAATAAATAAAAAAATATCATGGGACCTATGACAAAGCACAGTAATGTCCAAGTCCCAAACAAGATAAAACCACACCACTTGCATTATTGCCAAAGTTCTTGCCAGTCCTGTCTATATTTGCCCACATCTAAAGAATTGGCTATTTAAATATTTGAGTTAGAAAAAGTTCTTGAGGTATAACTTACATATAATAAAATTTACCCTTTTAAGGTATATACTAATAGTTCAATTAACTTTGGGAAAATTGATACAGTATGTAGCCACCACTTCCAGCATGCCAAAAAGCTCCCATAGGCTCCTTTCTAGTCAATTCTATTCCCCCACCCACCCCAAGCCCTTGGCATCCACTTGGTTTTCTGCCAAAATAGTTTGCCTTTTCTAAAATGTCATGTAAGTAGAATCACACCGTCTTTTAAAAATTTAGTTCTATCAAATTTTAGTTTTGAAATTTTTTATTATTTTAAAAATTTTAGTCTTTTATGCTTGATTTAGATATTTATACTAGGTATGTGTGTATATATAAATGAAATATATCAATGAGATAAAAGATTTAAAGAGCTCCTAAGGGAAAACATATTTATTCATCTTCTCACCTATGATTCCTTCTCAGGAAGTAAACACCATCTTGTTTTTGTGTGTCCTTTTGAAACCGGACACAAAACAGGTCCGGGGCTACCTGTCACTACTTGAGCCAAATTAAGCATTGACAAGGTTGAATTACATGAGCATTAATCCAATTATGCCAGCACTATGGAGAGAGCAGCAGGTCATCCTGAAAATTCTGCTCTAACATCTACTAGTTGGCTGACAAAATATGGATAAGAAAGATGGGCTATGTGCAAAGGGGAAGGGGGACAGGATAAGGGCTGCAGGGTCCAGGGTCCCTGTGTCTCCTTCCAGGATCTTGAAGTCCGATAAGAAGGTAGTTAATTTACTGTTAAAAACCAGTTCAGCATGTTTCTGGGACTGGAGAATGGTCAGCATTCCTGAGGTGAATTCCCGGAGGGGGTCAGGGTCCAGGCACAGGAACCAAATCAAAGTGTTTCCTGTCCTTGAATTTTTTGAGTAATGGACCTATCCAGGCTCCAAGGCATTGTATCTTTTTACAGCCTTGTTTTTCTTCTTGCATCAGATTCTCCAGTTTCCCAGAATCTGTAAGAAAACCTGTTAGAGCCTGACCAGCAGGTGTGGCTCTGTGGTAGAGCATGACTCATGCGCCAAGAAGTCCAATTCTCAGTCGGGGCATACACCTGGGGTTATGGGCTCGATCCCCAGCAGGGGGCGTGCTAGAGCAGCCAATCAGTGTTGCATGGATGTTTCTCTCTCTCCTCTCCCTTCCTCTCTCTCTCAAATCAATGAAAACATACTTTAAAAAATGTTTAAACCTCTTACCTATAGTTAGTAAAGTGAATAATCATTAAACAACTGTGGTCCTATTCCTATTATATGCCCTTCTCCCTATCACTTTCAGAAATCCAGGAGTATATAAATAAAACAAATATACATAAATTGCACACACATATACAGTCATGCACCCCGTAATAATGGGGATAGTTCTGGGAAATGCAGCGTTAGACAATTTCATTGTTGTGTGAACATTATAGAGTGACTTACACAAACCTAAATGGTATGGTCTACTACACACCTAGGCTACAATCCTGTAGAGCAGCGGTTCTCAAACTGTGGGTTGCGACCCCTTTGGGGGGTCGAACGACCTTTTCACAGGGCTCGCCTCAGACCATCGGAAAACACATATATAAGTACATATTGTTTTTGTGATTAATCACTATGCTTTAATTATGTTCAATTTGTAACAATGAAATTGGGTGTCACCACAACATGAGGAACTGTATTAAAGGGTCGCGGCATTAGGAAGGTTGAGAACCATTGCTGTAGAGCATGTTACTGTACAAAACAACATGAGATTAAATCAAGCACAAAAGAAAATTATGCAATTCACTGATGCAGTAAATATGAGATGTATGACACTGCTGCTAGTATAACATGGCATACTGTTTCATGGCAAACTTTTTTTTAATAAGTAGAAAGAGTACACTCTAAAGTAATGATAAAAATATAGTATAGTGAATACATAAACCAGTCCCATAGCTATTTATTACTGTTTTTAAGTATTACATACTGTACAGAATTGTATACACTATACTTTTCTATGAAAGGTTTGTCTACACCAGTATCACCACAAACATGTGAGTTAAGCATTGTGCTATGATAGTGTAACAGCTTCAACCTCACTAGGTGATAGTAATATTTCAACTCCATTATAATCTTTTGTAAAAATATTTTAAATGATTTTTTTAGAGGGAGAGAAACATCAATGTGAGAGGTTTTTTTTTAAGATATTTTTAAAATTTTTTAGAGATACAGGAAGAGGGAGAAAAAGAGAAACACTGATGTGAGAGTGAAACATCAATCAGGTGGGAACAACCCCTACCAGGGATTGAGCCTGCAACCCAGGCATGTGCCTGACCTAAATAGAAACAACGACCTTTTTGTGCATAGGAGGAAGCCTAACCAATGAGCCACACTGGCCAGGGCTCTATTATAATTTTATGTGACCACCATCACATGTGGTCCGTAGTTGACTGAAATTAAATACACAC